CCCCAGTGCAGAAGGGTCGGGTCCTGGGGAGTCACGGGCTCCTCAAGGTCAGGAGGTCAGGGACAGTTTGGAGCGGAGAAAGGGACGCCGGAACGTGCCTGAGGCCAGGCGGGGTCCGCAGCCCTGTGCCGGGAGGCCCAGCCGCTGACCGGCGCTGCGGAGGCCCGTGAGGGCCTGGCTGTCAGCGCTCGCGCCAGTGGCCAGTGCGGTCACTGTGGGAAGCTCCCACTGGCCTCCTGAGCTCTCCTGACCTGAGAGGCAGCTGTGGGCCTGCGGAGCAGGGCCTGGCAACGATGGAGCAGGCTGGCTCATGCCAGGGCCTGGCACCCGGGAGGGCCCCAAGCCACATGCGAAAGGGCTGTGGCTGGCCCTGGTCACTGACGAAAGGCGGCGCTTCCAGTCGTAGGGGCCTCGGGCCCGGCGAGGCGCTGCGTGAGTCACGGCCAGTCTGCGGGAGCCTCCTGGGACGAGGTCCGCTCGCCCTTGGTGACCTCACCAGGGAAGGGCACTGGCCGGCGCCCGCCATCCGGGCCCCCGAGGCCCACCTGAGGTCTTGAGCTGTGGCCACAGACACCTGAGCGAGCCCACCTGGGAACAGGAGGGGGCAGGGCCAGCTGAGGGGCTGCGCCCCGGGACGTCAGGCTCCCCTCCAGTGCCTGTTCTCAGGGCTTTGTACTGGGGGTGCCAGTGTGGCCAGGTGACCTGCGGCGTGGCCTGCTTTGACAGCATGTGCTGGCCCTTCCCTGTACCAGGCCCTGCAGCCTCGGGGGTCCCTTTTCAGCCCCCAGGCTGCTGGGGGCCCACGGGCTTTGCCGGGACGGCTGGCCCCTGGCAGGGTGGTGGACACGGGGACACGTCTTCATTAAAAGGGTGACTTTCTGAGGTACGCACGCATCTTTATTGGAAAAAGGAAACGCTGTGGGAGATTCTTCTATCTCAGTTGGTCTTTCGGGGACCCCTCCCCCCAGGTGGCCAGCCGGTGGATCTGGGACGTGGCCTGGGACAGCTGGGTGCAAGCCAAGCACGAGACGGAGAGCTACGTGGCCTTGGCCCTAGTGTTCGCGCTGTACTGTGAGTAGGGTTCCCGCGCCTCGAGTCGCTGCCGGCGCAGGCCCGCCGCGGGATGGTCACCGCGGCCGAGGCCCGACGTGTCGACCCAGTGAGGGCTGCGCTGTGCGTCCCCCTCAGCAGTCTCGCGTGTGAACATCCGGTTACCGCAAGCACAGGGCTGCTCACAGGCCGGAATACGGGGCTGGGCCTCATGGCCATCGGGGAGGACACCGAGAGCTTGCGAAGGAAATGGCGACGTCACTGTAAAACGTTGAATAAAGGAAATGTTGGGACAGATGTCCGAAGGCGTCTAACGCAGGTGTGGTGTGGACGTGACGCCGCCTTGGGGAGGGGCGCGGCACTCGGCGGGCTCGATGTGGTCAGCGCCCGCCGTCCGTCCTTCC